ACTGTAGACACCCCATTTTTGACCGACCTTAAGACTCAGACGTCACCAACTGAGCGTTCGGTGATGTTGCATATTGTGCTTGTTTTGAAGTTGCAGAGTCTCGGCTGCTAGCCTTGCCTCCGGATTTTGAGGCCCTTTTGTGCCTTGCCTCGGTTTGCGAACCAGGTCCTATTTTTCTCCGTTTTCTCTTCCCGAAGGAAGGGAGAGGTCTCGTAGACCATCTCTCAGTGGCCGTAGGCTACGTTTCGTGGTCGTAGGCCATTTTTCCCGTCTGGAGCCCGGTTTCTGATTTTCAGAGCCGTCGACCACGTGCCTCGGTTCGGGATTGCCTAACTACCTCCGTTTGCTCCAGTTTTTGGCACACACCTTATTTCCTTCCCCTAGAGGAACACTGTGGCCCAGGAGACCACCTTTGTGGTCATACGCCACTTCTGGTGCCTAACAGCTTGTTTTCGGGGCCCCGGACTGCGCGTTTTGGCCCCCGAACCTTCATTTTGCATCCGTCTCGGTCTATTTTTGGTAGGGACCCTATTTTCATTGCTAGGGAGGTGGTAGTATGGTGGGAGGCCACCTTTTTCCCTAAAAAACCAATTTTCTCATTTTCTCTCTCCAAAAGCCGATTTTTCTGACAGAAAGCTGGTTTTTTCTCACTTTTGAGCCACAATTTCTGGCTTTTCATACCATCATTGTGTTGTGCTCATTTGGGAGGCCACCAATATGGGTAAGCCGGCCAGAAATTCACCTTGACCTTTTTGAACCCCTCTAAAAAGCTGGCTTTTCTCTCTCCTGGGTCACTTTTTCTGGTTTTTCTCCACAGGGTTGTGTTGTGCTCATCTGGGAGGCCACCTTTCTGGGTAGGCCGACCAGCAATTTTGCTTAATCCTTTTGATCCCTGGTCGGCCGACCAGGGGGAGTGGCCGGCCGGCCACCTCAACTGGCCGGCCTGCATCCTGCTTTTTGCCCTCTTTGAGTGCATTATAGCTGTGCCAGCTGTGAGGCAATTGGACCATCCTCCATACACGTGTATGGAGGATATGTGAAGCCATTTTGGGATATTTTGGAGCCTCTCCTCTATAAAGGGTAGGTTGATCTTCTTGGGCAAGGGTTGAACCCCTTTGAAGGTTTACAACTCTCTCCCTCTATATATCTCTACACTTGAGCCTCCAAACCCTAATTTTCTTGCATCCTTTGCACTATAACCCTTAGCACCACACCTCCTCCATCCATTCCAGCACTTTGGGACTGATTTGCAAGGGTTGAAGGTTCACCAATTTGGTCCAAAAGCTCCAGCTTTGCTACTCTTCAAGGGTGAGCACTTATTTCCCTTAAACTTGCATTTTTTTGCTCCATTGATTAGCCATACTTGCAAGTATTTTTGGACTTTGTCATAAACTAGAAAGTGCCATATTTTGAGCTCCTCTTGAATATTCATTAAGGACACTTTTCTGTTTGAGGCCTCCTACACCCTTGTGTGTTTTTACCCCTCTTTGTAGGCCTATTTTGCTTCATTTCTTAGCCCTATTTGAAAGCATTTCTGGGCTTCAAGCCAAACTGTAAAGTGTCTTATTTTGAGCCCGTCTTCAACTTTGTTTCAGGAATTTTTACTTTTTGAGGCCATCTATCACCCCTTACCCCCTATGTCTCTTTTAGGGCTATTTTTGCATCATATTTTAGCCTTACTTGTGAACATTTTCGAGGTTTGTCATAAACTGAAAAAGATCTTGTTTTAATCTTCTCTTCAAGTTTTATTAAGGTCATTTTTCTATTTGGGGTCATCTTCCCCCTATGCATGCTTCATCTCTCCATGATTAGGGCTATGCATTAGAGCACTTGCATTGGCTATGGTTTGGCCTCTTAGCCACCGAAATGCAGTAGATTTTCAGTGGCTTGGATGTATTTTTTAGGGCCAAAATTAGAGGGGGGAGACCCCACTCTCCTTGTCTTGTTTGGTGGTCTTTTGGGCCTTCCAAAGGGACCCTATTTTGTAGGCATCGAAGTCACTTTCCAGGCCTCATTCTGTGAGTTTTGAGGTCTGCCTTGGTGCTGTCCAAGGCCCTTTTGGCCATATTTTATGTCTACAATGCATGCGTAGAGCAATCCCATCCAAGGCCTTTCAAAGGAGCCTCTCTTTGCATGTTTCCTAGACCCATTTCAGAGCCAATTTGGTGAGTTTTAGGGCTGTCATATTTGATTTCTAGAGTTGGTTTTGCCATGCTAAGTGTCTATCTTGCATGTGCTTAACAACCCCTTGCAAGGCCCTCCAAAGAAGCCCCTCATTTTTGCATGCATTGGTTGTGTTTCAGTGATTACTTGGGCATATTTTGGCATGTTTTATTCACTGTTTTTGGCTGATTTGATGAGTTTTCATTTGCTTCATATACATGCTATGTAAACCATGCTTGCTAGCCAATGTTGCATGCTATTTTAGTCCATCATGTTAGCATCTTTTGGCCATGATCTAAACTAGAAATGTGCATGTTTTGGGACTGCCTTGGCTCTGTCTTTTGACTTCATGATCAAATAATGCTTTCTTTGTATACTTATAAGTCAATACATGTGCCTAGTTTTGAGTTTCGGGGCTTATTTCATGCATCGGGTGCCATATTTCCATGTTTTGGGACCATTTTGCATCATGTTTCAGTGCTGGAAATTACATGCTTGTATGCCATCTTGCATCCCTTGCCATGCTTTGGTAGAGTGGCGTTTTATGCCTTAGGTTCGGTCCTCGGTTTGCGTGCATGTGTGCACGCATTTCGGTTGTCTCATTTTCATCTAATGGCTACTGATGTGAGCGTGGCTGAGGTTCACTCATGTTGGTGTAAGTCCATCGTGCATTGTGTATGTCATTTCATAACATTGTGTATGCTAGGTTGCATTTTAGAGCATTGTGTATGCCATGTTATATCACGTGCATTGTGTATGCCATTTTAGTCCATAGCGTTGAGTATGCTAGGTTACATGTTAGTCGCATTGTGTATGCCATCTCATTTGCATCGTGTTTGGGATAGGAGTTAGCCCAAGCACAGGAAACGAGGTACGTTTCGTACTCTGAGTGACGAAATGTGTCTCAATTCCCTGTCGCCGACACTCCGGATTACCCATGATGGAGTTTAGGTCTTGTTGTGTTTTCATGTGCATTCATTTCATATTGAGTCGTGTAATTCGATTCCTCGGCCATCATGCATCGAGATGCGTGATTGGTGGCACGAGGATCGAGGACTACGCTTCCTGAAGAGTAGTCAAGCATACATATGTGAAAATACTTTGCCATCCCCCTTTCTTGCTCTCTGTTGCAGCAAATCAAGAATCAACAGCTTTCTAAAAGCCTTACACAGCATTCCGAGAACAATTGCAAACAGAGGCAAACCGGGGCATCGCAATGGATTTTGGCGCAAGGCAACTTAAGCATGCATCATTCATCATTCAGAACAGAGCTGAGGCGGTCCATGGATTTGCGTGCTAATTTACCTGCTTTCCTAGATTAATTTGTTAATTAATTAGGATTTTGTATTTATTCGGACTGTATATTATTTATTCGGACCCTCCGAGCGAGGGCACAATTGTAATAAGTGTGCGTGCGATTTAGAACCGTGACAATTTGAGAGTCCGAACTGTAGTGAACCCCAAATGAACGGAACGGGACTCGTCCTCCCGGGGCGTTCGGGGGACGTCTACACTATGTATATTATAATAGTAATTAGTAAGATAATTTCATATTAGAATGTTTTGCACTCAAAAAATTTCAGTAGCTCACATCTTTAAAATTATAAAGATTCGCAATCTCAAATTATTTATATTACAAAATTTTTAAAATAGTTTCAAAATCAAATTTTGTCAAATATTGATCTATTCTATTTGTTATCCGTGTTATTTATTAAATTTTTGTATTGTTTAGAGTTACTTATATCCTTCTACTTGTTTTCATTTGTTACCATTCTTATTAAAATAAAGATTATTATTTAAGATTATTATTTTTTTCCCCAAATAAAAAAGATTATTATTTATTTTAATTGAATTGTAATTTTTAACATGTACAGATAACAAAAAAAATATATGTAAAATTTATACACAATTAATTACATATATGAACACACCTTCAGTCATTTATTAAACCTAACTCATTAATTTATTAAAATAATTTATAATTCTTTTGAAATTTAATATAATTTATAATTCTTTTGAAATTCATAATTTATTAATAATCATCAGTTTATACATATTTATAATTTATTTATAATCATCAATGTAGGCCTTCTTTTGATATTTATAGTGTGAAAAATACATATTTTTCTCCAATTATTTAGTTGTCAATTAATTTTCTTTTTCAAATAAAAATTCGGAATTTACTTTTTTTCCAAATATGAAAATTTTGGCCATTACATTTGTTTGAATGTTTTTTTTGCAATAATTTGTTTGCAATTTATGATTTGATATTTTTTTTTTGCAATAATTTGTTTTCATTTTTTTTTTCAAGTAAAACAGATTATTATTTATTTTACTAATCTTTCTTAAAATAAAGATTATTATTTTTTCAAGTAAAAAAGATTATTATTTATTTTAATACTCTTTATTAAAATAAAGATTATTATTTAAGATTATTATTTTTTTCCCCAAATAAAAAAGATTATTATTTATTTTATTTTCTTCTGCAATTTATGATTTTATATTTTTTTTCGAACTATAAATGTGTATGCTATCATTATCATAAATAATAAATATTAAATTGAAATATATTTTTGGGTTGACCACAAACTGTTTTCTTTAGTTCATGTTTACAAAAAATGGAAAACATTTTTCTCAAAATCTGTTAAAAATTAAATATGAATTTCTATGTTTTTCTACAAAATAAAAAAAAATCAGATTAAAAAATTATTGAATTTGTCAGAAATTGAATAAATTACCAATAAAAATTATGAAATACATTTGAAAAAAAGACAGCAATTCTTTGTCATGAAATTTGATTGGGAGTGAAATGTCAAAGGCATCCAATAGGTGCAAAATTGAATGAATGTAAAGGACGATCTAATTAATTAAAATGTATAAGTACATTACAAACATTGAAGATACTGCAGTTCGAATAGTATGCATTACAAATACGAACATAAGTCCAATGGCTTGCTACGTGGGTCACATTCCATAACATAAAGAAAATATCGAAAAAAGCATATTCACATTAGTCCCAAACTCCGTATGTAAAACAAATGGTCGCGTATGCGAACACGAACTCTTGCCATATCCACATCTGTGTCCCCAACCATGAGCCCATCATCGACATTTTGTCCACCGGCGTGAACGTCGGGCATGTCATCGGGCGCTGATGAAACAAAATAATGTCTGTCGTTGCCCAAGGCAGCTATCTCGTGTCTACGAATGAAATTGTGTAAGGCCATTGATGCACCGACCAACGGCACTTGCACCGTCGCGAAATCATAGTCCGGCATGTTGTGCAGGAACTTCCACCGAGATTTCCACACTCCAAAAGTCCTTTTCACTACACTCCTTAGTGACGCATGCGCTTTGTTAAACATTTCTCTCGGGTTATCGGGTTGTCCATGTTCCCGAAATTGTGCTTGATGATACCGAGACCCTTTGAATGGTGCCAGGTACCCCTTCTTGTTTGGATATCCCGCATCAACAAGGTAATATTTACCTATAATTAAATAAAATAAATTAAAAAAACCAATTATATACACGTGACATAAACCCCAAATAGTACTGAATTTGAAATATGTTACCTTCTTGTGGGTGCGGAAACGGTGCACGCTGATTTTCAATTACTTCCTTAAAGATGCGACTGTCATGCATACTTCCATCCCAGCCGCAAGAAATAAAAATAAAGCACATGTCAAAGTCGCATACAGCTAGTATATTTTGGGTTGGATAACCTTTTCGGCCATAATATGTGCCCGTATCACGGACAGGCAACACAGCTTGTACGTGAGTTCCATCCAACGCACCTATACAATTCTGCCATAATAGAACACATCACAACTATTTAATTGAACACCGCATTGTACACAAGTGTTGTTAACGACAATTACAGCATTCTCACCTTGAACGGTATGTGTTTGTCTCTTGACCGTAATTTGGGATGCCTACTAGTTTGAGCTCTGGTTGGCTTGCAATGCTGTTCAGTGAACAACTTCATTGCATCCAACACTGCATGAAAATGTCGAGAAACCGTTTCTCCCGAGCGTTGAAACCACTCTTGAATGCTTCGGTTTTGGTAGCCGGCCAAGGTATGTATGAACATGGCAACACTTTCTTCAATGTGTAACCCATGAGGTCTTTTAGGTACCCGTAAACCAAAATCTCTTCGTAATGTATGACATAACGCGTTAAACACGTAAAGAGGCATATGCAAATTTTCTTCACCCCTGCCCAAGTGTCCATCAAATAATTCCTGAATCCATGCACGACCGGTTAAAATTGAAGTTCGACATGGGATCTTATCCATGTACTTTACGTAACATTCCATTGCATGTCGCGCTGCGTCAAGAATTACATCATTCTGTTGGTCCTCTTGTTCTTCTGCTTGCTCGATTAAGTAATCATCATTATTTCGATACAGATTGCTACATTCACCGTTCCACATATCAAAAGTGTTGAACCCTACAATGCACAGAACACAGTATTAATGACGTTGACCATATAGTCTTATCCTTCGTTAAAGTAATGCACAAAATAAAAAAGCATGGCACCACCTATGCATACATCCACATTTTCCTACAAACCATAAAGAATAATGCAGTCAATAAAATTGAACAATTGTAGATACGAATGATGGTATAGTCAACACAAACCACGCTTCAATGAAGCAATACTGCATAAAATGTTCCACATTAGGTCCGCATCCATTCACCCAAAAACATTAATATTAACTAACAATACTGATAAGCGAAGCTACCAAAAAGCAAAAATAAATAAACAAAACAGCACAAGTCATGTCCACAAACACCCACAATGGTTTCCATTTTCCCCAAAAACAACAAACCACAGTTATCACAGTCCTTTGGAGGCCTTCAACGCTGCAAGCCAACCGACCACATTACCATCATCAGGCATGCACATTAGTATCTCACGGTAATCTGCATTCTCCAAAGCAATGCAGGCAAAGTGGAAAAGAGGCGTACTGAGAAAGTCGGGTATAGCCATAATCCTCTGCATGCATGCCTCAATGCCATACTTCTGAGAGGCACCAGTTCCATGCCTGATCGTAAGGTGCTTCTGTGAACGAACAGCCTCGGATAGATGGTTGAAACTGTCTGCAAGCACAGATGCGCCACTGGACGGTTTCTTAGACTTTCCACTTGAACTAGCCCCCTTTTTGCGCTTTGACCCTTGCTCCGTTTCATCTACCTGGACAATGGGGGAGGGTGGTGGTGAGTCGACAACCGGCTGATATGGCGCAGTAAATGGCTGCAACCCAGGTGAGTCAGCAGAATCGGATTCACCATCCGCAATGTCCACAACAGTCTCGCCGGGCGTCCAATGATGTTTCCCAGTCGCGGTTGCACCTGTGAAAACTTCCCGCATCAAATCTTCATGTTCCAATGGCTTGCTCTTGAATTTGTACGCTAGCTTGTTTGTCTGCAAATGAGAATAATAAAAATTGGAAACCGAAATTAAAGTTGTAAAGTAACAAACAACCAAATTAATTACGAATATAATTGAACAATACAGTAGCAGTATAGATATTCCATTACATACCGATTTCAAATTTTCCCACCATTTGTCTGACGCGGTGAACAACCCGGTCGACCTGTCGAACCCAATCCCAGTTACACCCTTACTGGTGTCCATCAATTTATTCCAAGCCTGCCACTCCTTTTTCAAAGCAAGGTACTTGTTCTTGAACTGCTTCATGTCATGACGTCTCCCTGTGCGCTTAGCAAATTGCACTGCAATTTCCTTATACCCGGCAACTGTGATAGTTGTACCTAGCCTACGTCCCGCTAAAATTTGCTCCCGCACACACTCTAAGAAAATTTCGGTTGATACATTATCCCAAGTTGCTTTATGTGAAAGATCAATGTAATCAGGCAACCCTTCAGTAGGCAACTGTCCAACACCTTTATGTTTGGATGGTGTTCGAGGAGAGGAGCGTGTTGCCGACATTGAACTAATTACGGTACAAGGTAGTGTACACATTTTACATAAATAAGTTAGAAACGGAAAATAGACAAAAAGTTCCCACATCAAATATCATAAGGAAAAATAACTGCTAATAGGAAGTTGCATGTACAGTAGCTCTGTTTTGTTACTTCAGTTACTAGTTAAACAAGCATCCAACGTACATACACGATGTTACAACGTTTTACATGCGCAGTAGTAATATGATAACCGTTATGCACAACATAGAAATAATCGTTTTCATGACACGCAATGCATTAAAAATTTGAGCGATGTCTGCCCGTAACTGCATGACTTCGGTTGGGGATGAGTCATGGTTAGGGCTCGGTCACCCTGATTCATCACACCAACCAATCCAGTTTACACATTGCTGATGACCAACAAACATAACTGTGGTTAGCTAAGGAAGTTCAATATTGCCAATCAATGGAGATTCAAATAACATATTTTACACAACTCACCACAGGCCGAGGACAAACATAATATGCACGACCAGGATTTTTGTGGGATCTGGAAATCTTAACAAAACAATGGCCATAGCCGCAAGCACACATTCGTCGTGGCCATGTTGACGTGCTAGTGGACATAGACGAAGCCATCCGCTGTTTCTTACTAACAAATATTTAGTGAAAATAGTGATTTTTAAAATTTATCTAGTACACTTTACAGATAATATAGGTTCATCTGTAGTATAATTATAAGTTTCATGATGTGATTGTAGCCAAACAAACATGCGTCATCTAAAGTTTGGCGTAGTCCGACAATATCATTTTAACTCGTAAATGAACCACTCAAGCAATACATATCACCTATGTTGTTGTCATTTATATTAAGAGCTATGACATAAATTAGAGTATTTTCACAATTATTTGAATATGAAACATAACAAACTCTTAAATGAACCACTCAACCAATACATACCAAGAAATTATGTATTTATAATTTATAAATTGTAACCAAGAACATGAACTGGGCCATGGAAATGGGTGCATGGCCAATTCTAATAACTGTATGTTTTTCATGTCTTGGTTTTCACTAAACTTTTCATGTCTTGGGCTACATGTATCATGTAAGAAAGTGACTTAAGACGGGTATAATGGAGGATTCGAACAGACAATTTCACCTCATATCATTACTGCTAAAGGGTCTCTATCCAAGTGTCCTCATGAAATTTGGTCATGGAGTCGTAGGAATTAACAGAAAAGAGAGGAGCTCCATGATCATACTTTTCAATAACAGGAGACATTAGGGCCTATAACCCCCACTGTAAATGTCTATAACAATATTTTGGATAGTGATATTTTAATTGAATTGTCCTTTCAATTCATGCAGGAATTATATGATTATCAATTACCAACATCTATCTAATATTCAAGAAAATTTCAACCTACTGCTCTAGTTCCTGATTCTTTTTGTTTTGATGCAAATCCCTCCAAATAGTTGACACCAACAAACCAGGTTGAAAACTTATTAAAACCATTATCGAACAGACTAAACTGCAGAAATTTTACAGAGCATTGAATTAATCTGAATTAATTCAGATTAATTCAGATTAATTGAACGGGTTGACAGAAATTTGTTTTGCGCCATCTCATAAACACAGATTGACTATTATTATGAAAAATTTGGTCCATCTCATATGTGATGAACAAACACGGATGGGCAGAAAAAAAATGGGAAAAAACACAGTGGATTGTGAATGATGATTATGGAAATCAAGGGGGATTACATCATTTCAGTTCGACAAACTGGGGAAAAAATGGGAAAAACTGGATTGTGAATGATAATTATGAAAAAAATCGTTTTGAAAAAAAAAAAAACAAAACAAAATCCAAACGTAAGCAACGATTACATCATTCGGATTGTGAATGGTAATTATGGAAATCACAGGGGAAAAAAATGTAGCTGAACACAATCGTATTCGGTTGTTATGACCCATTTAACTGAGGCGAGAAAAAAAAAAAAAAATTTGTTGTCGGCGATTTATATTTGGGGAAAGACGGATCATCACCAGATCGGCGTAAATAGCCACCGAATACCATAACTATGGGCCAAAACAGATGAAAATCTTGTAGATCGGAATGGAAAAAGTTTCAAACCAAGTCGACAAAGGTAAGAAACACATGTATAATCGGTTCAGATGATTTACCTGTCGTAGTTCTTCGTCCGTCGTGTTCTGTAGAAGGCAGAGCTCTGCCGGAGGTAGGTCTGCCGGAGCGAGATCAGTAGCGAACTGGTGTTGCTACAGTCGGTGTGAGAGATGGAACGAAACAGATGAGGCACTCGTGTTTTAGCAGAGTGTGTAACCCATACCCTTTGAAATAGTCAAAGGGTAAAATGGTAATTCCATCCCGTTTCTAACCTAGCTGACCACACGCATTTTACTGTTCACGCTTTTTAGCTTTTTTTTGAAAAGAGGCTATAATAGCCTGAGCCTTTGTTTGCCAAACATCGCCATAGTAAATCTAGGCTAATAACCGGAATAAGAGTACATAATGTTTTCAAAACTTGATATCATGGTTAGTAGAGGCCGATCTTTGATCGGGCGAGCGGGGGTGCTTACGAAGTGACCTTCCCCAATCGTACCCAAGTTCCCGAGCCGAGACAACTTTGGTGATGACGGACACGTGGCCTTAGGCAACGAGTCTAGGTTTCCTAAATTCCCCCAAAATAAAAATTTAGGTGGCGACTCTGTATCTAGCAAAGTAGTTCATGTTTGGCACTTCTTTCTAAAAAATCTGTTTTCCAAAACGATTTGTCGGATTTAGACTCTTTGATGAGTCATCGGTCTTGCATTGCACTCTGCGAGATTAGATACAGGACCGTGACACAAATTGAGTCTGAACTGTAGTGAGGCCCGAGGGCACGTCTACAGTTTCTGGCGACTCTGCTGGGGATTTAGAGAACTTGACTCGAACTCATGATATCTTGTTTTGACTACACTTATGTGTTTCTTTGCATTGCATGTGCATTGGTGCGCCTAGGACACCGTGTTTGCCGTATGCTATTCCTGAACGGTTTGCCGGAGGCTCGCTTTGCGAAGTGTGCCATAAGGCTGACCGGTTGCGGGCTCTGCCACGACGGGAACACAAACCCCGGTTTTACCGAGGCACCCTTTTGACCATTCGACCTAGTGCATATTCAGAATCCATAGTGACCATTCCAAACTAGGACAGGTTGCTTACCCAATCATAGGTTGTTTGAAACCGCTGCGTGCGTAGTGAAACCCTAGCTCCTGACAAAATAGGACAGGGAAACCCTACCCCAACATAGGGGTGTTTTGGCTCTCACTTGCTTGTTATGTGCTTTTAGAGTACGTCTCTACAGGAATGCATGTATCAGTTTGCAAGTTTGGGCATCAGGCCTGCGGGCACCAGTTCAGTATTTTGGGATTCAGTTTACCTGAGGGTATCAGTTTACGGGCAGAATTTTGAGCAGAATTCTGTAGGGGGCACACTCATTCAGCTCTACTCATATGGGTTATTGTGAAATCAGGCTGAGATGCTCTCTGTTTTCCCTTTTGCTAGGGTAGTCTTGGAACCATAGCTCCAGAAGGCTCTGAGATCCCCCAGATTCGTTGGACTTGTGTTGATAGACTTTGGCGGGTCAGAGATTCAATTCAAGGGCAATCAGTGCACCAATTTTAAGGATCTTGTAATTATTATTATGTATACATCAAGTTGTGCTGTGTGAACACCCTAGGATAATGAAACTCTAAGTTAAGATTAGTTGCTTACCCATAAGGAAGTGCCCCTGTAGTTAGAATTTGACTTACGCCTGGCCCCATTCACAGAAAAATGAATGGTGGACCATACTTCGAGACAAGTAATAACATGAGTTTGCAAGCAACAATAGAAATGCGGTACGAGGAAATTGAAACCTTAAGAATGGACTAGTAACCGTGGCTAAAATCCCGAACCCTATCAAGAATCAAATTTTGGAGGAGTCTTATCATCTTTGTGAAAATAATTGGCACAACATTGACTTCAGAATAAAATGAGGTAGAATCCAAGAGGATTTGGAGCTTGTGGAAAGGAAACTCAACTTCATGAAGATATCCTACTCCGACCTCATCTTAAAAATAGATTTGTTACTCGTACCTTAGCAATTATCGATAGTTACCAAAAGAAGTAGATGACTTACCCATCCAATGGAGCATGTTTTCAGTTTAAGAGGGATAGACAAGACTCCATGACTTCAACGAAACGTAGGATGCAATGGCGCGATCAAGTTGCGGGTAGGATAGCAAGTTTGGTTTTAAATGAGGAGGGCCAAGGAGAATTAGAACTTCCGCACGTAGTATGCGAATATGCAGATGTATTTCCTACAGAATTACCAGGATTGCCACCAACACAGGAGGTAGACTTTAGTATTGAGCTACAACCAAGAACTACCCCAATATCCATGGCCCCGTATTGCATGGCACCCGCAGAATTATGAGAATTAAAGACACAACTACAGGAGTTGCTCGAGAAAGGATTCATTCGGCCAAGTGCTTCACCATGGGGAGCACCCGTGTTGTTTGCTAAAAAGAAGGATGGGTCATTAAGGCTATGCATCGATTACCGTCAACTCAATCGAGTCGCGATTAAGAACCGATACCCACTCCCAAGGATTGATGACCTTTTTGACCAAGTTAGAGGCTCAAGGTGCTATTCAAATATTGATCTTAGGTCAGGTTACCATCAACTACGAGTCAAGGGGGAGGATATACCAAAAACTGCCTTTCGTACTAGATATGGCCACTATGAGTTTGTAGTAATGCCTTTCGGACTAACCAATGCATCAACAGTATTCATGAGCCTAATGAATAAGATCTTTAGACCATACCTTGACCAGTTTGTAGTAGTGTTCATTGATGACATCTTGGTATATTCAAGGTCTGAAGAAGAGCATGAGCAACATTTAAGGACTGTCCTTCAAGTTCTTAGGGATAATCGGTTATATGCCAAGGCGAGTAAATGTGAGTTCTGGTTGAATGAAGTAAAATTCTTAGGGCATGTAGTATCAGAGAATGGGATTACGGTGGATCCAACCAAGGTGGAGGCAGTATTAGATTGGAGACAACCAAAAACCGTGTCAGAAATCCACAGCTTCTTAGGATTGGCAGGTTATTACCGGAGGTTCATCCAAGATTTCTCCAAACTAGCGAAACCAATGACTCATTTGACGCAAAAAGGAGTAAAGTATGAGTGGGACGAAGCTTGTGAAAAATCCTTCCAAGAGCTAAAGAAAAGGTTAACTAGTGCGCCAATTTTGACCATCCCAGAACGAGAAGAGGGGTACACTGTGTATTGCGATGCGTCTAAAGAAGGGTTAGGTTGCATGCTCATGCAAAATGGAAAGGTAGTCGCGTATGGATCCAGGCAGTTGAAACCTCATGAGCGCAACTACCCCACACATGACTTGGAGTTAGCAGCCGTAGTTTTTGCCCTAAAGCAATGGTGACATTACCTGTATGGGAAACAATTTGAGATTTTCACAGATCGCAAGAGTCTGAAGTATCTATTTACACAGAAGGACCTTAACTTGAGACAGAGACGATGGATGGAATATCTTGAGGATTTCCAGTTCACTCTCTCATATCACCCTGGTAAAGCCAATGTAGTAGCAGATGTTCTAAGTTGCAAGAGCAGAGGGATGATGGCTAAGATCTCTGTCAAGGAATGTGTCACGACCCAAACCCGCCCCTATGGGTTTAGCATCGTAACCGGCCAGTAATCCGTGATTATCGAAGGCCTGCTTGACAGTAAAGACAGTAATACAGAGTACAGGGGCCGGCGGAAGCCAAGACAGTAATAAAAGATGTCCAATGAGCTGTGACAGTCTGTATGCAAAAAGACTTTTTCGAACATATTCACATCCATAAGCAAAACATATATACACCATATGTACAAACATTCAGAGTACAGTACAAGTCTTAAACAGTATTACAAAATAGAGACGGAAGGGTGAAACTGAGACACCCTAAAATAGCCTTAGCTTAGTCAGACTTGGAACCTCGAGGTGAGGCACAATGGTTGGCTCGGCAAAAAGGGAGTTAACCCGGCACTCCTAGCATCGATCCGGTGCCTGAACACCTACATATAAATATAAACAGTGAGCTAAAGCCCAGTGAATAACAACTGTGTAAAGAGGTTAGGAATGAATGTCCTTTTAGTCATTAAACAGTCATATCAGTCATTTAGAAACCATAGCAGTTATATGTGGTACATCCAATAGCAAAACAGTACAGTAGGTCTTAACAGACCGAACAGTTAGTTGATGGCCATCATAACAGTAAACAATAATGGTTCCAAACATGGGAATCGACAGAGATCTCTGTAACAGTAGCAGTAACAGTACAGTAATAGTAGATTACTATGGATGCCACGAATTTAGTGCACAAATAGGACAAACATTCATTCAGTAAGAAATATCATTTCAGAAAGCAGTACAGTAGATCATTCAGAAAATATTCATGATTGAACATATCTTTACAACGTTGTTACTCACGGAGCACTGGGCTATAGGCAGCTAGTAAGCGTCCTCGGATGCCAACCCTATACAGTTACAGAACGAACACACACTAAGTTACACACTTGGAAATCAACAACTTAGTGCCTATCTTGACTCGGTGTGGTTCTACATCAATAACCTCATTAAGATGCCTTAAACTAGGTCTAGGAATGCCTAGGATAAAATGAGGATACAAAGATGTACTTTAAAACACTTTTCAAAATTTTCAGAAAAAAGGGGTCTCGCTCGAGCGTGGCTTTCTTCGCTCGAGCGAGCTTGTCAAAACAGTGGGGTCGCTCGAGCATGGACTTCCTTGCTTGAGCGGTCTACAAAAATACAAAAAGTGCTGGATGTTGAAAAGCCCCGCTCGATGCTCGCCCGACGCTCGCTCGAGCGTAAGACACAGTCCTCGCTCTAGTATAGGCTCCCTCGCTCGAACGTGCGTCTGCGTGCACCAAAAACCTGAGAGCTTGAAATCTACGCTCGAGCCAGCATTCCTTCGCTCGAGTGGAGCTTTGAACAAAAGACGGTCGCTCGAGCGTAAAATCCTTCGCTCGAGCGTGGAAGCCAAAATCTGAAATTTCCAGATTTGCCTCCCAAGCTCAAACCAAGCATTCAACACATCAAAACTCACCTTTTTGGGCCCATTTTCTGGAAAACACTTGAAAACTCATACTACAACATGTTTTGAAGATCAATTTTGTAAAATCAAGCCCAAAGGTAAGTCAATTGAACACAATTTCAAAGAAACTTTCAAGATCTATGTAAAAACATAACATGCAAGAACTCTTATGAATTAAGTGCTCTAAAACTTGGCCAAATGCAAGATTAAGCTTAAGTACATGGTGAATTCATGGACTACATTCAAAATATACACATGCATGTATGAATTAGCTCATAATTCAACTCTTCAAATTAATCCTTGACTTTAAACTCTAAATTACCATGAACCTTGCAAGATACAACTCAAATTCACAATGAAGAAGGTGAAATCTCTACCTTAGGTCTTCAATTTTAGGTATAGAAGCTCAATTATGCAATCAACCTTCAAATCTTCTAAGTTTCCAAGCAAAACTCTTGATGAAACCAATTTTCCTCTACTCTCCCTCTCTCTCACGGTTTGGCCTAAGGAAGTGGCTGAAAAATGATGTATGAAGGTGCCAAACAAAGTTTGTAGGAAATGGCCACTCAATGGCAATTTGGTAAAAAGTGCAAACTAATGTGATACAACTTTATTTAATCTAATTCAATCATTGCGAATCAAATTTAAATTAGACCTACCATAAAATCACATAAATCCTAACTAGCATATAATACAAATCAATTTCAGGTTCGGTCGCCGATAAGGCCTTCAATTTGCAGTTCGAACTTAAAACATGAACAGATCAATTAACAGTCAAACAGATAGAAAATGCAATCAAGCAACATACTCATGCGTTCAATTTAGAATTTCAGTCTGTTTAATTACTTATCATGCTTAATCATAGATTAGCACTAATCAGAGGTGAGGGTTGTCATAAAATGGGATATGGTTAAGACACTCAATGAATTCAGGATCCAAGTAGAATCTCAAGATACAAAAGCATATCTTAGTGCGCAGAAGGTGATGCCTAAGTTGATGAATGAGATCATGGAGGCCCAGAAGCACGATCAAGAGGTAGCCTATATCAAGGGACGTCTGGAATCCAGAGAATCCATGCCCGATTGGGTAATTCAGCCCGATGGGAGCTTAAGATACTAAGGTAGACTGTTTGTACCAAGTGACGAGTTACTTAGAGGAAAGGTATTGAAGAATGTCATCATTCTGCATTTGCGGTACATCCAGGAGGGACTAAAATGTACCAAGATTTGAAGAGGCGGTATTGGTGGAATGGAATGAAGAAGGAAGTGGCTAAATTGTAGCAAAATGTCTAACATGCCAACAAGTGAAGGCAGAACATCAGAAACTAGGGGGAATGTTGCAACCTTTACCAATAGCCGAATAGAAGTGGGAGTATGTGACGATAGATCTTGTGACAAGGTTGCCTAAGTCACCTAGGGGGCGCAATGCTATATGGGTAATAGTGGATCGCCTCACCAAGTCAGCACATTTCTTATCCTATAAGATGACCGACACTTTAGAGTCTATGTGCAAGCTCTACATTGGGAAGATCATTCGACTACATGGAATTCCGGTATCTATCGTGACAGATCGTGATCCACGATTCACCTCTCGATTTTGGGAGAGCCTGCAAGAAGCTCTTGGTACTGAGTTATGTTTTAGCACCGCCTTTCACCCACAGACAGATGGACAATCTGAACGCACCATCCAGACACTCGAAGATATATTGAGAGCTTGCGCAATGGATTTTCAAGGAAGTTGGGAACGACACCTACCTTTAATCGAATTCGCCTGTAACAACAGCTTTCAAGCTAGCATTGGTATGGCGCCTTTTGAAGCATTATATGGACGACCTTGTAGATCGCCAATCTGTTGGACTGAAGTGGGTGATGTAAATCTGATAGGACCCGAACTTGTTCTAGAAACTACTGAGAAGGTCAAATTGATTCGACAACGGTTAAAGACTGCTCAAGACTTTCAAAAGAATTATGCAGATAGGAAGAGAAGGCCATTAATGTTTTAGGCAGCCACGTGTTCCTAAAGGTGCAACCTAGGCGTGGAGTCGTACGTTTTGGGAGAAAGGGGAAGCTGTCACTACGATATATTGGGCCTTTTGCGAGGTATTGGAAAGAGTGGGCGAAGTAGCATATAGACTTGCTCTACCCCCGCAATTAGCAGGAATACACAACGTCTTCCATGTATCTATGTTGAGAAAATACATCGCTGACTCGTCACATGTCCTCAAATGGGAAGAAATCAGTCTTAACAAAGATGTTACATTTAAAAAAGGACCGGTAGCAATACAGGATAATCGAGAGAAGAACCTTAGAGGCAAAACGGTTCACTTGGTAAAAGTGCTATGGCGTCATCGGGGAGCTGAGGAATCTACTTGGGAACACCAGGATTGGGTGAAGGCAAACTACCCCGAGCTTTTCGAAGCAGTGTGTAGTTGAATTTCGGGGACGAAATTGTTTTAAGGGGGATAGGTTGTGAAGCCCCTAAAAAACATATTCACTTTAAAGACCCTAATGTTTGAATTATTTTCTTAAAACCCCTCAATTCCTTGAATTATTTCAAATCTTGTCGGTTAGCATTTTATTTTTCTTATTTTTTTTTTTATTTTTTATTTTATCAAAACAAGAATATCCTAGCCGGATTAGGTTCCTTAGCCTAATTTAGTTAATTCTACATAAGTAAGGTTCCAATACATGAAATTAACTCCAAGCCCTTACTTCTTTATTTAAATTCAAAATTTACCTGAAAAACTAGTACATGTACCCTTATACTATAAGTATCATCAATCAATTGAAATATATATATATATACATTGAGGAATGTGCCCTTAGTACCTAAATTGATTAAAAAAAATAGTCCCATCACCCTTCCCAATGGCCGGCCACCCTAGGGAGAAGTGAGAAACCAATTTTCAAGATTCATGATCATGGTATTCTAGAAAACCCAAAACCTAGTACCCTAGACCTAGGATGTTGTTTCCAATACTAGTTTCATTTCAACTAGGAATCAACTAGATGTTGCCTAATCCTATGATTAAGCTCCCTAATCACTCCTATCCCATTAGACTCCAAGCAAATCCTAACCTTTCCATTCATTTCTAACTAGTGGGCTTTTATGTCCTTTTACACCAAAATTTGCCTATAAACACCACCATCCCCTAGCTTGGCAAGCACAAACAACACACCCACACCCACACATTCAGCTAGAAGAGAGGAAGGAGAGGAAGAGAGGAGTCTTGAGAGGAAGGAGAGCAAGAGAGAAGTCTTGGGAGGGAGAGGAAGGAAGAAGAGAGCCATCTTGTTCAAAGCTTAGCAAGTAAGCCACAACACAACCATCTCTCTCATTTTCCTTTTTCAAATACATGTTCTTAAGGGTTCTAAATAATGTTTTTAGATGTGTTATTGATGAGTTACTTGTGTTAAAAATGCTAAGAGTTGAGCATTGATTCTACCTCTCTTGTATTTTCCCCATTTCGGCACAAAAACATCTTTTTTTTATACCAATCTCTCAAACTTTCCAAAGGCACACTTTCAAGCAAATTTTCTAATTTTAATATATGTTAGTTAGCATGTTTTCATCACAAAAGAAATGAGAATTTTCCCTTAGTGGACCCCTTTTTTCATAAATCTTCTTGTTTTGGGCATTGTACCTTAGAATCTGTCTTCGCAGCCCACTTTCAAAAATTATAAAACAATGTATAAAATTAATCTGGACCTTTATTTTATGTCAAAATCTTCCTTAAGGAGTTATCTTTCAACTAAAATTGGTTTCATAGAAAAACCGTGAGCGGTTTGCAAGAAAATCAAATTTTCGTAACGATCGACAAATCTGGACAGCGCTGGAATGCTTTCTAAATAACTTAAAATCTAGAAAAGCTATCCCATTTCCAAAATATGTTCTAGAAACTAGACCAAATTCTCTACGAACCATAGGAAGGCCGAGCCCGGTAAAAATTCTAAAATAGCCCCTTTCATTATAATCCTTATGTGATATTGAATCTGGAAAATTCTGTTGTGTTTGATGTCTTATGCCCCTGTGTTCATGAAAATGTTTATTAGCTTATGATCATATCTTGGCATGATATTGTATGTGTTATGGTTATGTTCTTCATCTCCTTCATCTTATTGATGCATGCCTGTGTGGATATTATTATCTCGTTAAGTTGTCTAACCTTGATATAAAACACTTAACACAACGGAAAGCTTAATTGGGATGGTATTGGGTTTTCGATCACTTGAGTAATGAAAAGATGGTAATGTGTGATGCATGGATTGTTGGGATTCATTCTCTATTTGGAAGTTTAAGTCTTGCGCAAGTGGTTTTCGGAACCCTTGAACGGAGCGGTTGTATTCGGACCCTAGGTGGTTTGGTGTGAGGAGGGATTTGGGCAAGGCCCTATTTTACCGTCTCTTTTGAGGCCCTGCGGTTGGCGCTATGTGGTATATAACCGTTGGTAGGTATCCGAGGTTAGTTCTGCAACAAAGCAGCAAAAGAGGGGGCATACCGAATAATCCGCGTCCGATTCTTGTGGTTGGGAGGACGAAATCTCTTTGGGGGATTTCTAGTTTACTAACATCTAACTTAACGCTTTTATTTATTTATTTGAGTATCATGCTTTACTACTTGATGTTATAATTGTGATTGTGTATTGGACTGGGGAAAAGGGGACGGGTGTGTGTGTGTTTACTGGGCATTCAAAGCTCACGGCGTATCATGTCAGGTGACGAAGAGGAACTTATAGCTGGAGACGACGAGCCTGAAACCTTCGAAGACTTTTGGCTATCTTAGAAAAGTTTAAAAAAATTTCCTTTTGATATTTTGTAAAGCTTATGTGAAGTTTTAAATTTTCTTTTTGGGATGTAATGTAATGAAACAAGCTTTTGAAATTAAAGATATTTGTGATTGTTATGTACTTATATTCTAATATTTATATTTATACACCATATCGTTGCTTATGAGACCTTGTGTCAATACCTGGTAAGATCTGTCAAAAGGGTAGTGCGCTGCCTAAGAAAGCCGGACTTAGAAGGGAATTAATTTGACTCTTCCGGTGACCTGAGATCTTACTTGGTTATTGACCATAGGACTCATTAGTTGCTCTCCCTTGACTGGAACCAATAGTGTAGATTCGGGGCGTCACACATATGTGCCCATTTGAGAATAAATTATTTTAGTTGATTTTTTAATTTTTTATGAAAAGATATAAAAAAAATAGAAAAAATGTTGTGATTTGATATTTTGTCTTTTTGACTATTTTAGGCCTCGTTTGGCAATATCACTTTTTAGCCTAAAAGTCAAAAAATCACTAAAAAACTAAAAAGCCAACAACCTATACCAAAAAGTCAAAGATTCTCTTTTTTTCTCTACTTTTTGCATATCTTTTTGTAAAAAATCAAAAACTCATCTCAAATATACTAGTTTTTTTTACCTCATATTTTAGCCAAAAAACTAAAAAGTTACTAAAAAAACTTATTCCTAAACGAGGTCTTAGTTAAAATGAAATCTTCTTAGATGAGGCCTATACATATATATATATATATATATAAAAGTTTTGTGGCTATGATCTTGAGTGAGAAATAAGGAAGGAAAGAAAGAGAGAGAGGGGGGAGAGGAAGGTTAATTTTGGCATTTCAAAACTTTTTATGCTGAACTCATCATTTTTTGTTCATTAATTGATAGTCTATGAACTAGGGGTGCTCAATCGATATTCCGATCCGCTCAAATCGACTAAACCGAACCGAACCAAATCGATCCATTGCATTTTGGATGTGCGTGATAACAAGCGCACAATTGCGGATTGATTTTTTTCCAATATGTCTAGTTTTGGAAGGATGGGGAATTTAAGATTCCTTTGGCTGCAACCGAACTACGAAACCGCGAGCACCCTTAATAATTTGTGAGACTTTGTATTTTTAATTTGTTTAGATATTCTGTTTGTATTTTCAATAGAAAAATAATTTAGATATTCTATTGTGTTTTCAATTTGGAAATCATTATATCAAAACACAAGTGTTGATATTTAGTATTTTTGTATGGAAAATATAAGGCTTAATTGTCTTTTTAAAAAAAAAAAATCAAATTAAATGGTTTTTGAATAAAAAAAGTAATGAAATAGTTTTAATAATGCATGATTTTCTTATATGTATTTATTATTGGTATTTGATAATTTACCTGATAATCTTTTGGTTATGTTGAGTTGAATTGTTGTCTTAAAAAAAAAATGTTGACAAGTTGTTGTACTATATTCAAAATTTGTAAAAGTTTAAACCGCCAAACCGATTCATATCTATCCGCCAATCGCTCAATCTGCATCTGCCAATTCGACAGATGGATGCGGATTGATTTTTTTCAATCTGCAAATTCCGCAGATTAGAGGTTCCTCGGCTGCAACCGAACCACAAGCACCCCCACTATGAGCGGATAGACACAATTGTTACACATATTACTATCAAAGTAAGGGAGCGTAATGATATTTCATAGAATAAAGACGGTACTAGTGTGATTTCAAAGAAATTCAGGGAGTGTCAGTGTAATTTATCATATTTTGAAAGAATCTCAGTGTATATCATCTGTAAAAAAAAATTAAGTTGATTCCAAGAATCATAACATTTTATTTTTTTGTGATTGT